GTTCCCTCTCCCAGAAACTCCCACATTCTGTACTACATACTAAGCTTGTTCCCTCTCCCAGAATCTCCCACATTCTGTACTACATACTAAGCTTGTTCCCTCTCCCAGAAACTCCCACATTCTGTACTACATACTAAGCTTGTTCCCTCTCCCAGAAACTCCCACATTCTGTACTACATACTAAGCTTGTTCCCTCTCCCAGAAACTCCCACATTCTGTACTACATACTAAGCTTGTTCCCTCTCCCAGAAACTATTCTGTACTACATACTAAGCTTGTTCCCTCTCCCAGAAACTCCCACATTCTGTTCCCTCTCCCAGAAACTCCCACATTCTGTACTACATACTAAGCTTGTTCCCTCTCCCAGAAACTCCCACATTTTGTACTACATACTAAGCTTGTTCCCTCTCCCAGAAACTCCCACATTCTGTACTACATGTACATACTAAGCTTGTTCCCTCTCCCAGAAACTCCCACATTCTGTACTACATACGAAGCTTGTTCCCTCTCCCAGAAACTATTCTGTACTACATACATGTACTAAGCTTGTTCCCTCTCCCAGAAACTCCCACATTCTGTACTACATACTAAGCTTGTTCCCTCTCCCAGAAACTCCCACATTCTGTACTACATACTAAGCTTGTTCCCTCTCCCTGAAACTATTCTGTACTGCACACTAAGCTTGTTCCCTCTCCCAGAAACTCCCACATTCTTTACTACATACTAAGCTTGGTCCCTCTCCCAGAAACTCTCACATTCTTTACTACATACTAAGCTTGTTCCCTCTCCCAGAAACTATTCTGTACTGCATACTAAGCTTGTTCCCTCTCCCAGAAACTCCCACATTCTTTACTACATACTAAGCTTGGTCCCTCTCCCAGAAACTCTCACATTCTGTACTACATACTAAGCTTGTTCCCTCTCCCAGAAACTATTCTGTACTGCACACTAAGCTTGTTCCCTCTCCCAGAAACTCCCACATTCTTTACTACATACTAAGCTTGGTCCCTCTCCCAGAAACTCTCACATTCTGTACTACATACTAAGCTTGTTCCCTCTCCCAGAAACTCCCACATTCTTTACTACATACTAAGCTTGTTCCCTCTCCCAGAAACTATTCTTTACTACATACTAAGCTTTTCCCCTCTCCCAGAAACTCCCACATTCTGTACTACATACTAAGCTTGTTCCTTTCCCAGAAACTCCCACATTCTGTACTACATACTAAGCTTGGTCCCTCTCCCAGAAACTCTCACATTCTTTACTACATACTAAGCTTGTTCCCTCTCCCAGAAACTATTCTGTACTGCATACTAAGCTTGTTCCCTCTCCCAGAAACTCCCACATTCTTTACTACATACTAAGCTTGGTCCCTCTCCCAGAAACTCCCACATTCTTTACTACATACTAAGCTTGTTCCCTCTCCCAGAAACTATTCTGTACTACATACTAAGCTTGTTCCCTTTCCCAGAAGCTCCCACATTCTGTACTACATACTAAGCTTGTTCCCTCTCCCAGAAACTCACACATTCTGTACTACATCCTAACTTGGTCCCTCTCCCAGAAACTCCCACATTCTTTACTACATAATAAGCTTGTTCCCTCTCCCAGAAACTCCCACATTCTGTACTACATACTAAGCTTGTTCCCTCTCCCAGAAATCCCCACATTCTGTAATACATACTGAACCTGTTCCCCCTTCCAGAAACTCCCACATTCTTTACTACATACTAAGCTTGTTCCCTCTCCCAGAAACTATTCTGTACTACATACTAAGCTTGTTCCCTCTCCCAGAAACTCCCACATTCTGTTCCCTCTCCCAGAAACTCCCACATTCTGTACTACATACTAAGCTTGTTCCCTCTCCCAGAAACTCCCACATTTTGTACTACATACTAAGCTTGTTC